AGGTGTTTTTCCGATGACTCAGTGATTAGAAAGGGTGGCGCGTCGCGTGCGTCGGCTTTAAGGCGCGTGGCTCCGAGTGGGGCGAATTCGAGCACGCGTGCGCGCGCGTGCGCCGGCGTCGGGCGCGGCGTGGTGCGACTCGTCGCGGCCGAGCCCCTGCAGCCGCGCCGTACCCGTCTACGGGAACAAAACTCAGGCGAGGGAATCGATTCCGCCGCTTTAGCTTTAACGAACCTCGTCAGGGATGGCCGCAGCAAAGGCAGTGGAAGTCATGGTCGAGGCCATGGCCAAGGCGAGTTTTCCTCAGATTCTGCTAAATCAAAGGCCTCTCTCTCCAAAAAAATAGGCGGTGGAGATCGTCCTCCTCAATCGCATCATGCATCCCTTTGACCTGTCCCGCAGCCCTGGGCGGACGCGGTTCAATGTCGAGGTGGACGAGGTCGATGTGTCGCGCGGCGCCGCGGTCGCGCCGGGGCGCCGCGCCGCGCGCGCAGGCCGCGCGCGCCGACCAGCCGCGCGCGCAGGTCGTGCGCGGCCTCATCGAGTACTGGCGGCGCGACCCGGGCCTGCCGCTCGTGCTCCTCGTCGTCACGCGCTCGCCGAGTGGCGGCCCCGCGGCGCTCCTGGAACGGTGGGAGCTGCGCTACGCGGCCGCGCGTGGCGGCGGCGGGGGCGGCGGCGGCGAGGCCGAAGCACTCGCGAGCGTGCGGGCGCTCTGGCGGCGCCTCGTCGTGCTCCTACGAACGGTGTCCTGCGCGGCGCGGACGCGCCGTCGCGCGCGTTCGGGCGCGCGGCCGTCGCCCGGGGCGCGCTCGCGCGCCCGGACCCCCGCGCGCCTCGCAGCTACTCCATCGCGGCGTCGCTGCCGTGCGCGCGGCTCGCGCGGCGCGCCGAGGTCGACGCGCGGCGCGCGCGCGGCGGCGCCGGCACCGCGGCGCTCGGCTTCGCCGTCGCGACGCGCGAAGTTGGCGGCGGCGGATGGCTCGTGCTCGACGGGTCCAGGCTCCGGGTGGAATCCAAATCTCGATGTGAGCATATTTGCGTGGTTTTGGCGAGATCGTTGGCT